CAGTTAAGAATAAAAGCAAAAGCTCTTATTTTGCCTTCACTTATTCCTTCTTTAATATTCTTTTCTTCTTTATACAACTCCACATTTCTGACCTGTATCATTTTCCTTCTCCATGAAGAACTTCTCTCTCCTTTTTTTTTTGGTGGTACTAGAGTTTGAACTTAGAGCCTTGCACTTGCTAGGCAGGTACTCTACCATTGAGCCACATCTCCAGCTCTGTTTTTTGAAAGGAAAGGTTTCTTTTGGCTCATGGTTTCGGAAGTTTCAGTCCATGTCTCTGGCTTGGTTGCTTCTGGGTCAGTGGTAAGGCAGAGCATCATGGTGGCTGGAGTATATGGCAGAGGCTGCTGGTCTCATGGTGGACAGAAGGCAGAGGCTCAAGGACTTCTTTTTACATTTCTTACAAAGCAGGCTGACTGGTGACAATTTCCCCTAGTTTTTGTTTGTCTAAGAAAATCTTTACTTCTGTTTCACTTTTTTTTTTTTTTGCAATAGGGTTTGAACTCAGGGCTTTGTAGTTGCTGAGCAGGTGGTTTATCACTGGAGCCATGACACTAGCCACTTTTTAAAAAAAAATTTTTATTAGCATGAATTAATTGGATCAAATTCACACCATGTATATTACTCCCCCTTTTAAACACTTTATAGTGGGTTTCATTATGCTATTTTCCCATATATATATATTATAAAAGTACTTCAATCACTTTTTAAAATTAACTAATTTATTTATTTCATTTTCTTTGAGATAGTCTCACTATGTAGCCTAGGCTAGTCTCAAACTTACCTCGTGCCTCAGCCTCCTGACTGCTGGGATATTAGGCATGTGCCACTGTGACCGGTTTTAATCACTTTGGAATAATAATTTCACAAGATACAGAACTCGTAGTTGGTGGGTTTTTTCAAGATCTTGAATATTTTGCTATTCTTACTTGCATGTCTTTGACTAGATGAAGGAGTTCCATTTGATTTCTCAGAAACCATGCAAGGAAAAAGAGAGTGCAGTGAAACATTTAAAACGTTGAAGGGAGCGGGGGCAGGGGGGAGAAATGACCCAAACGTTGTATGCACATATGAATAAAAGAAAAATAAATAAAAAGAAAAATAAAATGTTGAATCCCCTCTACCCCCACCAAGCTTGAATTCTGTGTATCCTGTGAAATCATTATTTTGGTATACCTTTTGCAGGTATACCGCAGTTCTTAGATATTCCATTCTGGGTTTTTTTCCCAGTCTTCTTTCTGGTTTTGTTGGTGTTAAGTCATTTTTCTTGGAATATCCTCAAACTCAAGGATTCTTTCCTCAATTGTGTTTAGTCTATAATTGAGCCCATCACAGACATTCTTTGTTTCTGTTAGTGTTCTTGATCTCAGGCACTTATTTTTGATTATTTCTTAGAATTTGTGTCTCTCTGCTTGCAACCCATGTGTTTTTGCATGTTATCTACTTTCTTTTTTAGAATACTTAGCATATTAATCATAGTTGTTTTAGAATCTTTGATCTTTTGTGTGTGTGTGTGTGTGTGTGTGTGTGTGTGTGTGTGGCACTGGGGTTTGAACTTAGGGCTTCATGCTTGCTAAGCAGATCTTTTTACCACTTGAGTCACTCCACCGGGGTTTTTTTTTGTGTGTGTGTGTGTGATGGGATTTTTCGAGATAAGATCTCACTATTTACCTGGGCTGACTTCAAACCGAGATCCTACTGATCTCTGCCCTCTGAGTAGCTAGGATTACAGGTGTGAGCCATGGGTGCCTGGCCTTGTCTGATCATTTTTAACATTCCTGTGATATGTGACTTTGGTTCTGATGCTTGTCATATTTTGTTGGAAGCCTGACACAATGTACTAGGTAAAAGGAGGTACGGAATGTGGCAGCAAGGTGTGGAGACAGGGAAACACCCTATTTTCTTAGATTACGTTTTAGTTTTTGGTGAGCCTGGGCCTCCGGCCTGTAAACTTCACCAATGCTTCTCAGGGGCCATTTGTAAGTGATACAGGATGGCTGGAGGGGGCTGGAGTTGGGAATTCCTTTCCTCCACATGGAAGGCTGGAGCTGACTAGACCTGAGTATTTTCTCTTTTCCATGTCAGTTAGGCTCTCATAAAACTCCATAATGTTATCAGATTATGTGTTGATAAAATAGTTTCTCCTCATTAAGAACAGAATGTTCTGGTATAATTTGGTTACCACAATGCTCTGGAGTAGTAATGGCTACTTTTCTCCTCCCTTGCCTAAAACATGAAAATATTTCCTCTGTTCTTCACTGGGACAACCTGGTAGGCCTTCTGGAGGTAAAACTCACAAAAGTGTGTGTGTGTTCCCCTAAACTTGGGTCTGCTGGAGTTCCCAGAGTTGTCCATACCGACCCCCCCCAGCAATTTGTCAATTGTAGTTTAGGTTTTCCTACCCTGGTCGTGCTTGCTGTGCAGGTTTCTTGTGGGTTTCTGGTCTGGTAAGGTGTAATTCTCTTTGTCAGCCTATCTCTCCACCTTTTGGAATAGCAGTAGTTTTCTGTAATCTCACTTCTCTGGCAAATGTAAGAAAAGTAGTTTGCTGTTTTTTTTTTTTTTTACTTTGTCTAGATATTCACTTCTTATTAAGATGGAGTAAGAACTCCCAAGCTCCTTGCATGCTGGGCTGGAAATCAGAAGTCCTCTTTCTTTTATTCAATATGGGTTTTACAGCTATAATGTTTTCTTTCTTTCTTTTTTTTTTTTTTGGTGGGATTGGACTTTGAACTCAGGGCTTCTCTCTCACTTGCAAAGCAGGCATTCTACCACTTGAGCCATACTTCCAGTCCATTTTGCTCTGGTTATTTTAGAGATGGGGTCTCATGAACTATTTGCCCAGGCTGACCTCAAATCAGTCCTCCCAATCTCAGCCTCCCAAGTAGCTAGGATTACACGCATGAGCCACCGGTAGGCCATGTTTTTGTTTTTTTAATCATGGCTTTAACTGCATTCCATGAGTTTTTGTATATTGTGTTTAATTTTCATTCTTCTCAAAGTAGTTTTTGATGTCTTTTGTTGTGCTTGGACTTTCTATAGGGGATAACATTCCTATTTCGTTACTGGATTAATTTCAGAGAATATTAGGGCCTTTGGACCTCTGGATTTACAATTTATTTATTTATTATTTATTTTTGAGACAGGGTTGAGACCCTGTCTGTAACCCAGGCTGGCCTGAAACTCACCACATAGCCCAGGATGGTCTTGAATCGATGTTCCTGCCCCAACCTTCTGAGTGCTGGATTTCCAGTTTGACAGAATAGTTTCTGAGGAGTAGACGAACTGAAAGTAGACAAAAGTGACTGGGTGTTGTGGCTGCAACTGAACCCTTAGCTCTTGAAGCCACCCTGTGGCTTGTGGCCTTGTATGTTGGTGATTCTCAAGTGGGCCGATATTGCCCTTCAGGTGACATTTGGTAATGTCTGGATACATTTTTGGTTATCATAACCGGGATGTGGGATGGAGCTACTGGTATATGGTGGGTAGAAGACAGGGATGCTGCTAACCTTCCCATAATGCACAGGGCAGCCCCTCACAACCAAAACTTTTCTGATCTGAAAAGTCAGAAGTGCTGCTACTGAGAGACACTGTTTCAGCCTCTTACACTCGTCATACTGTTTCCCATTCACCCAACACCTACCTGCACAGCCTCTCACTCCCTCTTCACAATGGTCCCTAAGGTAGCAGAAATGTCACAATCTGAGATGAGATGAGTTAAGCCTTGAAACTGAAACAATCTGTCAGGTGGTAGCAGAGTCAGGACTACCACCCTTCAGTCCAGTTGTTTCCCAGTAAGCCACAGTTATCCAGGCCTCCACTTGCTTCACCACTCCACCTTTCAAAAGCAGATCATCATGCATTGCCTTGTGAGTACAGTCACCCTCTGGTGTCTTCAAGGAGTTGGCTCCTGCGAATACAAAAATCTGTGGCTGTTCATGTCCCATATATACAGTGGTGTGGTATTTGCATAGAACCTGGCACTTCCTCTCATATATTGTAAAATTTTAGGTTACCTATAGTAACTAATACAATGTGCATGCCATGTTTAAACTTGCCATATCATATTATTTAGGGAATAATGACAAGAAAAAAGTCTGTATATGTTCAGTACAAATGCAATTTAAAAAATTTTTTCAATCTGTGGTTAGTTGAACTCTGTGGATGTGGAAATCCATGGATCCAGAACCCAGCTGATGTGGAACCCACAGATCCCGAGTGCTACTGTTTGTGTCTGGTATTTTAGTAGACAAATATGCTTCTCCTAACCATGACTGCTTTAATTGGCCTTATAGTCACCTAGTTGATGTCTCCCTTGGCAAATAGAGTGGAAACTCCCAGTGGGCAGCATGCATTTTGCACAGAGTAGGCACTCAGTAAATTTTTCTTGACTAAATGAGAAGATCTGAAGGAATATATATCAAAATATTAACTTGGTCATATATGAGAGCTTGAAATAAAGGTTGTATGTGTCTCTAAAACAGGCTGGGCAATGGGGTGTGACCCTAGAATGGACAGGAGGAGAGATTGTAGGACCATAAATTGATTGTTGTGCCTAAGTAATTTTGTGGTATCAGTTAAGTACTGTATTATTTCCCTTGTTAAGTTCCTCATAGTCTATTTGAATTGCCTGTGTGAGCATCTTTTTCCTTTGTTAAAAGATCAGTTTAACCTAGCTTAACAACTCACTGTATTCTCACATTTTTCCCCTAAAGGTCTTCCCAGAAATATAAACAAAAGTGTTTTGTGATGTTGGATATCACAGTTATCCTTAAATTCTCCTGATACTGAGTCTCTATGGCTTAAGATACCTGGTCTCAAGTTTCTCTTTTATAAAATGGGAATGATATTCTTTTGCTAACTGAGACCGTTCCTGAGGAGAGAATTATTAAAGCACACGAAAGCATTTTTTCCTAGTAATTTGTTTAAAAGATCTAAAGATATACTTGACCTTGGCTTCTTTTGACAATGACTGTACCTTGACCTTTGTTTTTTCACAGGTGTTACAAAACATCTTGGATAATGAAAAAGAATATGCTAAGGAACTTCAGTCTCTTCTTGTCACTTACTTAAGACCCCTGCAGTCCAATAACAAGTAAGATTTTCATTGTAAATCCCTAGTCAAATAAAGCTGGATAATGTTGAAGTGTGGCGTCACTACTCTTATGTCACTGAATAATTGATTTTCTCCTTTAGAAGAATTTCCACAGATCACAGGTTGCCAAGAACATGGTCAGGGCAACAAAAATTATGCAAGATGTTGCTTTTGGAAAGCTTAGCTTGCTTTGTGGGGAAGGAATGAGTGGGTCTAAATTTCTGCCTGTTACAATTTTTATTTTGTATTTTTCTTATCACTTCTCCATTTAAAATTTTGACTTAAATTTAATTGACACACAATAATTGTCCATATTTGTGGGGTAGAGTGTGATATTTCAATACATGTGTACAATGTGTAATGATCAGATTACAGTAACTGTTACATCATTTTCAAATGTTTATCATTGCTTTGTATTGGGAGCATTCAAAATTCTCCCTAGCATCTATTTTGAGATATACAGTTTACTGTCATCATCCATAGATACCTTACTGTGCTCTAGAGCGTTAGAAGTTATTTCTCCTAACCAGCTGCCTCCTTGGGCCTGTTTACTATCCTCTCTCCATCCCTCCACCCCCTACTTCCTGTCCAGACTCTGCTAACCACTATTCTCTATTTCTATGATGTCAACTCTTTAGCTTCCACGTATCTTGTATATTTTAAAGTGATGTGTCTGGTTTTACCATGCGGAAAATGGACTCCCGGGTGCTTTTCTTCAGAAAGCACATAAATTGGAAATTCTCATGCTCGCTCTGAACTTTGCTTGCCAGGGCAGAACCTCTTTTCCATGCTCTGAGGGTGGAAAGAGTGTGGCATTTTTGTGAATGTTCATACAAACAATTCAAACCCGTATTTCACTCAGGCAAAAAAATGAGATATTAAAGGGTTTTTGAGAACAAAATGTTCAAAACTGATTTTGGTCTTAGAAATATGAAGTGCTGGTCTAAAGCTTGACTTGATAAATTGAGTTTTCACAAAAGAAAAATGTCAACTATTCATTTTTAACATAGTTAACAAATAGTGACTTACTGCATTTATTTGTTGTTTTAGTTGATTACATTTCATTAGAGGTCACGGTCTGTAAGTGAAACAGAAAATTTAGCAGTTAGCCCATGTAAATGGAGGACAAAAGCCTCCCTTTTTATCTTAATAAGAGCCAACTTTTGCTGGACAGTTGCCTAACCTATCAATTTCAGGCTTAAATGAGTTTAATCTATTTCACCATTTTTCTCCTTTATCCAAATCATGTTTGTTTAGGCACAATGTCTTGCTGAATTTCTGCCTTATTCTCATGGCACTATGGGAATCTTTTTTCAGTATGAAAGGATTTCGTATTCCTGTTATAAGGATTTGAATAGGATCAACAACAAAGTGTTTTGTTATTATGATGTGAAATATGAAGTGTTTAGTGAATCATGGTTGGGTTGTATCTCAGTCCGTCTTTGGGTCTAGCGTCTGGGAGGAATGTCTATCTCCAATGAATAGCTAAGAAGCTAAATATCAGAGAGGTTTACTGCCTTGCCTATCACATAGCTAGTAAGTGGCTACAGTCACCATGTCTCTTGCCACTAAGTGAAATGTGCCATATGCTTTTTGGTGGTGACAGAGGACAAGGAAACAAGTGATATCCTGGGAAAGGAGATGAGATATTTCAAATGAGGGGGAGACTGATTAGCAATCAAGAAACAGTGAGAGGGAAGAAAGGAAAAGAGGCTGGCAGAGGTGAGAGACCTGAGTCAGACCTGCATGCCCCACACCACTTTCCATTACTTCTCACTGTCTCGTCAGCCTCAGAATCATTTGAGCAAACTAGATTGTCTGGTTGGGAAGGGACCAGAAATGCCCCGTCAGGTTTAAGTGAGCTCCTGACTCAGGTTGTCACTGCTATGACAGAGCAGCAACCAGGGAAGCTGGCTGGCCAGCAGTTTCGCTTTTGATACCCATCACAGGGGTTTTCCAGCTTGTGGTCCAGGGGGCATTGTAGCAGGGGAACTGGGAGCTTTTTATACTCTAGGGGTTAATGGTAGTGTTTGTTTGAGTCTTGCCTCTTTTATTAGTCAGCAAAAGTATTCTCTTGGAAACAATCCCCTGGGATTATATATCCTTAAGGAGAAAGACTATGTGGCAGACACTGGTCTTTCAAGGAGTTTCTCCCACAAGGTGGTTAAGGCCGTGGTTTCGGAGCTAGAATGTTTTGGTTTAATTCCTTTCTTTGCCGATCACTGGCTTTGAGACTTTTGATTACACATTTGCTTACCCTCTCTGTGCCTGGATCTTCTCACTTATAAAATGGAGACAGCAATAGTCCTTACCTTGTGGGATTATTGTAAGTTTAAAATGAGTTCTTATTTGTAAAGGGTTTGCATAAGCGTTCAGCACTTGTTTAGCTCTTGTTCTTGTTTCACTTACTGTTTGGTGTGGGAAGCATGAATAAGAAGATTCTTTGTGCAAAGGCCCTGGATCAAAGTGTTCATTTTGTCTTTATTTGACTTCGGTCTACTCCAAAAACAAACAAATAACCAAAAAATCAGTACTATTGTCTTCCCTCCTACTTCCTTTTGTGAAGATTTCTTTTACTTGGCATATAGCATTTTAGTTCTCAAGAAAACTAATTTAAGCTGATTTTGCTACTGTTTTCTGTTCATTATTTGAGCATGTGTGTCTTTCAATTACTTTTCCAGGTTCTGTACAAGATGGTGCCCTAGACTTTTTACATTTATTCTTAGCTATGATGTATTTTATCTATTTAAATAGTATTTATTAAGCACTTGTTATTTCTTCCTCATGGCTTTGTAGAATGAATGCCTAAATGCCCTCTTAGGACCACTAATTTGCTTTAAGATCATTATTCATCTATATATATTATATAAAAATTATATATATATATATAATTTTTTTGTGTGTGACTTGGGGTTTGGACTCAGGGCTTTGCGCTTGCAAGGTGGCACTCTATTGCTTGAGCCACACCTCCAGTCCCATTACTCATATTATAGAAAAGGAAAAGCAAGGAAAGAAATTTAAGAAGGTTGCCTAAGACCATAGAGTTGTAAATTGAAAAGCAAAAGCTAAAAATATAGGGATTGTTTCCCTCATATTTGCCAGATGTTAGGATACCATCAGCCAATTAGACCTCAGATAAGGTATCTAAAGCCATCCTTAAGTTCTATTAACTGAAACTGCATGAATTTTTTTGTTTGGCTTTTTTCAGTCTGAGTACTGTGGAGTTTACATCTTTACTGGGAAACTTCGAGGAAGTATGTACATTTCAACAGACACTCTGCCAAGCCTTGGAAGAATGTTCAAAGTAAGTGTGGCATGTTTCTTAGCATGGGCAGGGCCGTTGTCTGGGGATTGTTTGCTTTTTAACCATTGCCTTAGATAAGAGCACTTGATATTTCTGCATTTGCTACGATTTTGACAGTCCCAGAGCAATACAGAGAATAGACACTAGGTGGTGGTATTCTCAATGTCAAATCACAAATGTACATCAGGCCTTGTGTCTAGAAAATTATATCCAACTTTAACTAAAAATCACATAAATTAACTGCTTCTTGTCACTATGAGTTATATAAAGTCTTAATTCACCACAGATGACAGCTGTGACATTGATTACTTTCTTTTGTACGTAACAAATTATATGGAAAAGTCATTCAGATTATTCTCTCTCTCTCTCTCTCTCTCTCTCTCTCTCTCTCTCTCTCTCTCTCTC